AAGGGTGCAACAATGAATGAATGGAATTCCAAAATCTCTGTAGATGTTCATTGAAATGAAAAATAAACAAACTAAATTAAATTAAAAAAATAAAGCAAGTTTGTACCCACATTGGAGCAGAAACTGAAGCAAGATCAAAAAGTTCTTAATAAAGCTGGGCTTGCATACTCACTCCAGCAGATTCAGGCCTCTGGGGATAGCACAAAGCTGTTCCCTGCAGGCCACTCTATACCAGGTTCGCTGCTGTTACCAGAAGGTAAAACATCATCCAAAGGTTGTAGTGCCAGCACAACTTTGAAAGTGCTAGAATTGAATACTCACCGTACAAATACACCAAGGAGACAGAAGAGAAGGGATGGCGGGATCCAAAGCCTTAAAGGAGTAAAAGAGAGCTTTGCATCGAGAGATGCAGGCCTGGGTCCTCAGAGTGAGTTGCAGAATCACCCCACCAGCGACCATGACAATGGGTTGCCAAATGATGAGAAGTTGGAAGAATTGAAAACAAGGGAGCCAAAGGACCAAAACTTAAGCAGCAAAGTAGTGCAAAGGGGACAGGAGTTCTTTGGCAGCAATGGGAACTTCCTTTACAGAATTTGAACTAAGGCCTACCTTGTGGAGATGTCATGTGAAACAGCTGGGCAAGTGTATTTGGAGCTGCCTTGATTTCTCTTTATAGATTAACCACCTTAGAAGAAGAAGCAGTGATCTTGGAATATGATTGGGAGCGAGCTGCATGGACTTGAATCTGACAGGTCATTGAGAACTGGAAGACTTTAGGGGGCCTTGGTAAATACTGGTCAGAATAGATTCAAGCTTCCTGGAGTACTGCTTCAGGGCTGACCCCTGTGGCTCTTCACTGTTCACCCCTCTTGGGCTCTGTATGTTCAAAACCAGCCTGTGTTGCATGTGGTAGTATAAGTTTCTGTGATATTTGCAATGTATGTTTTGGAGGAAGTTAAATGTTGCATTCTCACTTCATTTCCTCCTTGATTAATGAATACTAGCAGTTCTATAAAAGTTTACTTAATTGGTTATTTTCTTTATGTGGAAAATAAAGTAAAATATAGCAGTCTACTGGTGCCTTCTGGTATGGGAGGGTTTACCTGGAAACCCAGAAAGTGAGACGGGAAATCATTACATAATAGAAGGAATAGAGGAATCAGCAAGAAAATTCCCCTTGTTGATCACCCTGCCTAATGGTAAGAGTTTTGTCAGCTAAAGATCAGTCTTTTAGTTATTCAGTCTCTGAAAGGGATATAGAACAGAGATTTGACAAAAATTGCTAAGCAGGGAAAGGCATTTGGGTCCTTAGCATAAACTCCAGCTGCTTCCTAACGCTTTAAATTATCTGATTTCACCATTTTTACCAGATTTCTGTAAGGATGCCACAAGGTGGACAGAACACATAATATCTTACAAATAATGCAATAGCGTGAAAGATTTTTGGTTATGTCCCACGCCACATGGTTGCTAATGGAACATAACAGACTGGGACTTTTAACCTAATTCTGATATTCTCTAAAACAAAATATCCAGAATTGAATATTCTTAGCATAATTCTTAAAAATTTACTGATGCTTGTAGAGAACTTTGTTTCTAGGTAGAATTGGACGTAAGCAAGCAGTATAATCCAGTGAGAATTTTCATGTCTCATTAACAATTCACCAGCAAGAATTAGTCAGAATTTAAGGATATGATAATAAAATAAAAACACTTATGGTCCATGTAAGAAGAGCAAGGGCCATGTGGAAATGGCTGTTTCTGACCTTTATCAACTTCACAAAGTGGAATTGTCCCCATCAACATTACCACTACAAAGTCAGTTCCCATGGGGTTAGACATGCTCCCACACCTCTTTTCTACCCATCCCAACACCCATCTTAACTACTGGATCCAGAATCAGGTGTGACATCTTAGGCCACACAAAACCATATTGAAGTCAAAAGGTATAGTCAGGATTGCTTGCTAAAGCCACCTCAGCCTCTGCTATGGCTGCTGTCTGTAAGCCTTAGTCTGACTGGTGCAGCAATCTCTGGCCCCCAAAACATGTTGATTCTCTTGGTGCTGCTTTGCTAGTGGTGAAATTCTCAAGTTCTGCTGCTGTAGCCACTCAGTTCCTTGTGGATAAGCTAACATACTGCATATTTCCAACCGGCAAAATCAAATAGCTAGGGAAGCCATTTTTTTTTTAAATTGAAAAATTATAGAAGCAAATAATCTCCAGTTGTTGTCAACAGTTCATAATAAAGACATATTTCACAGTAAAAAAAATTATTTCATAAAAGTTGTCAAATTTCTGTGCATACAGTTATACTTACCAGTTGAAAGGTCTTTGATAAGAATACTGGCTTTCATTCCTTCTATGAATGACCCATTTTGCATTTCACCAATTAAGATATTTTGTTGATTTCTCTTTATTTTTCTGTTTATTCTGATTTTATTTTACTCTTATTGTTGATAGTTTTATTCTTTTAAAATCATCTAATTCTTTTAAGTTCCCCTCTAAAAAAATGATTGAGCTTCATATATCAAAATATTTTCTGATTTACTTTGGACTCCTAAATCACTGGAAAAACATCATAAATCATTTGTATGACAATAAATAAATAAAACAATTAAAACCTGTTGCTACTAAATCAGCCACAAATGATAGCAACACCAGGACATTTACAGAGTAGAACTGGATGATTTTCAGGGCAGATTGCTCGAGCACAGGCACTCCTGGCCTTTCTTCTTTTTTTTTTTTTTTTAATTTAGGTTGTTTGTTTTTCATTTCAATGAACATCCACAGAGATTTTGGGATTCCATTCATTCATTGCTGCACCCTTCTCCCCGCACAAACCCCTCCC